GCTGTAATGTGCAATTAACTGTAACGTGTGCATCAGTGTAACCAATAGAAGACGAAGCTAAATTGAGAGATATTCCAAATTTCCAAAAGCTCTAAGGAATTTTATCCATATAAACGATTATCGCTCTGTGTAACTACTCGGAACAGCTTCCAACAGTTCCCCGACTATAGCAAGAATAACCGTGTCATCAAATAAAGCTCTTTAGATTATTTTCTTGATCATATCAGAATTTGTAATAAATTTTTGAAGCATTTGCTAAAATTTTCACCATAAAAATATGTTTGGATTCTTATTTTTATTTGAAATATTTCGAAAATTGTTAAATTAATAAATTTCAATGAATTGATAAATTTAACATAGCTTTGCGGTTATTCAAACTAATATTTTTAAAAAATTATAGAAATATAAAAAATAAATTATAAAGTTTCACTAATATTTAATTTCAAAGTTTTTTTACGGATCGCGTTGGTCAAGAAATGTCTCTTGTGGGTTTTGCAAAAATTTTTCATTGTTTTAATAAACTATTTGTTAAATTCAGAATCATGAAATTTTGTGTGACGAAAGGAATATTTTTTATTTTAAATAGACAAATTTCTTTTTTATTTACCAATTTTATGATTTATCAAAAATTTCTGCCAATTCTATTTTTTTTCTATATTTTATAAATTCATTTAGTAATTAAATGTTTTTTCAAAAAATCGCTTATCACCAACCTAATATCGTTAACATCAAATTTCATTGAATTCTCTCGCATCACTAAGCAGCACTTTCTGAAATTTGCAACACTGTCGCGCAGTAGCAGTCGTGTAGTTGCTGACTTCACGAATAAATCTCCATTCATTCTGTTATATTTTCCGATAAATTTTGAATTAGTCGCTGCTTTACCGTAATATTTTGTGGAACCTGAACAACGCATGGAATAATTGTTTCATGATTTATTCCATCAATTGACGTCACTTTCTGCTCGCTGAATTGAATGAATTCGTGAGAAAATAAAATATTGCATTGAATTTGAATGAAACTGTGATAAATGATAATATATAAGGAATCTGAAATTAATAAAATTCATTATTTTTTTTCTAAAAGCCCTTCACTTCTTAGGCTAACTTTGTTGGCTACAGTAGCAAAATGTTTCTACAAAATGTTTCAAAACATATTTGCCTTTGACCAGTTATCCCAGCACAATGCTTATTTAACAGCAGGTCAGGGAGGCCAACCGCTGGTTACAAACTGTTTTATTTTCTTTTGTTATCATATTTCATTTGATAAAAATCAATTTTCAATTAAAAATTAAATTTGCATACAATTAAAAATTTGCATAAAAAATATGAAAAGCAGTTCATTCAATAAATAAAGCAAAAAAATCAATCGACTGAATGCTAAAAATGAAAATTAATAAAAATTTTGCTGAAAATAGTTAATAAAAATTAAATTTTATTTAATTACCAATTAACCAACAATACTTTGATTTTGAAGATTGAAAAAAAAATGATTTCTATTACCGTCAGCGATAGCTTCGATCGAAAAGCTTAGGGAAATCTTACCTCCACTGGCAGCTAGCCTAGTCGGTCTGAGGATAAAGAGAGGATAGATAAATCTAGGTAAAGTTCAGCAAAGTCTGAAGTATGAACGTAAGAAATCTCTTTGCAGTTGCTGGAATTTTATAAATTTCAATTCCATATTCTTAAAATATTGCAGGACTATTCATATACCTGCATTCACCTTTTCTTTTTATGACACCTGCTTAGCCTAAAGTAGGTCCAATAGCCATATATCATTGTACCCTAGAGAATAAAACAGGTCACTACCCGAATGGGCAACACAATGAACGAAGCGCATTGTTAGTGGATGAGTTAAGGAAAATTTCTGAAAAATTTTAATAAGAAAGAAATTATTTCTTCTATAAAAGACGAATAATTCCCGAATATGTTATAAATAATTCCGTTCATCAAAAAGCTGATAATTGATAGCAAATTCTCTGAATGTTTTCAATAAATTTTTGAAGTTGAATTTTTGAAATTTTTGCCTCTATTAAAGCATTTGAAATATCTCTTATTTTTGTTAATAAATAGATTTGGACTCATCTGAAAATAATAAATTTAATTTCAAATTTCGATGATTATTATAAATTTCGGTGTAATATGTATCATATTTAGCAAAATGTTGCAATTCAAATGCATCATATACTATGAAGAACATAATTTTCACGGTTTTCACCTCTGCCTTCTGACAAGAAGGAATGTATCATTAACAGTGAAATCTAGATAATACCTGCATTTCTATTCCGTATAATCCTCTGGCAAAGCGATCTCATTTCTGGTAATCAGTGGCGAAAGTTGAAGCAGAAATGATAAATGGTAAATAGCAATCGGAAGTATATATAAAAAATCATTAAATGATCATTAAAAATCATGCCAGTAATCCACTCTTTGGCACATGAAAATAATAATTTTAATTTTAATTTGAAATTTCGATGATGATTATTGCAATTTATCATTAAAATTAATATTTTATTAGTTGAATTTATGCAGTTGAAATTTCTTGTTTTGCAACACGTCGCGAATGTGTCACACCGCAAAAAGAAAATGCAAACTGAAAAGAATAAATACGAATAACGAAATTGGACAATCAATCCTAAAAGTCAGAATCCCCACTTCTCTACACGTTATCAGTTATTGGACGTTAATCTGCAACTTTTTTCCTCCTTATCATTTTTTTTAATTTAATACATTCGATATTCGATATACCAGTAGTCTCGACTAAAAAAATTAATGAAACGATTATACGTGAACCGACTTTTAGTGATTTCTAAAGTTTTTCTTTTTATGAAAGGAAAAATAATTATTTTAAATAATTATTTTTTAGAATTTGTAATTTTTATAAACCATCGAAAATTCATTGAATATTATTATTTCGCTCATTTGTCGAGGAAATTTTTTTCGCGCATTTGTCGATTTCTTTAACAGTGAAAAAGTATGATAAGTACAATTTTCTTTTTTCGTACTGTCACCCAAAATCTGGCAGTCGTATTTTTTTGTATAATCTCACTTTAAATTGATTTTTTTGCCCTACTTTTTGCCCTACTTTTGTTAGTAATTTATAGTTCATATGGGTGTATGTCGGTGCACTGTGGAGTTTTATGTTTTCGACTATGGATTATTGCTCCTTAACAAGGATAAACCTGTTATTAATGGTGCCACCTCGGTGAGTACTGAAGGCTAGTGACTATCTCTCGCTTTTTCGAAATAACTCTGTGGGTAATATGGTTTTACTTTCCTTTAAAGTCAGTGGAACCAGTTAGAGATAGCGCATAATGTCAGAAGTTAGAATCTGGTTAGGCTTACTTCACTGGCTATGATTAAAATTATTCAGAACGATTGTGATAATATCGCCGCAACATTTGTCCCGTTATCTATTATTTATCCATCATTTTCTGCTCATCTTCTGAGTAATAGTTTATAGAAAAAGTCCAATTATTATTATATTATTATCAAATGAAAGAAGCAATTCATTTTGATTTGATTGGACTGATTAGAACAGATGCTGTTGATAATAAAAGTTTCAATTGTTCACAGTAAAGTAAAAAATTTTTTAGATCGGTTGATTATGATATAAATATGATAATATCAGTTAATGCCATTTAGTAGAACATCATTTTCAGCTTGTTTGGCTTTATTAAGTTGATTACCAGGCTCAAAATGGTTTTATCCGAGAAAGACTTGAAGATTGATAAATAGTTAGCTTATAGCATTGCATGCATTTCACTTGTAATGATCAGTCTAGGCACAGCACTTTGTTGCTTATCCTTAGAAAAAATAGCACAGATAGGCCCAGTGGCGATAGTGGCGATATTTCTTAATAGATCGCTAGTTTTCAAATTTTCCTTCTAAATTTTTTCATGGAAAATGAAATTGTTTGCATCGAAAAATGAAGTCGGTGTTTTCACTCATACGATTATTTTCACGATTCCTATAACACTTAGCTCTCACCATTAGTGGTTAGGCTAGCTCCAATGGCTATAAAGGTAAGACGCATCCAAGCGGTCTGATGCCATCGTCGACAATAATAGAAGCTATTCCTTTTTCCCGTCTAAGTCCATATATTGCTGGTCCACCTATACGTTCAAAATCTCTTCTGATCATGAGGGTTTCGTCAACCGGAAGAACGCATTTTTAGCTGCCATGATTGAGATTGTACTGTTTTTTGGCTAGCTTCTTGGTGTTGGAGTGAACCCACTGCAATTTGAAATCAGCTAATTAATGAACAATGATCAAGCAAGCCTTGTTAAGATTTTAGGGCCGTGTGCCTCTTACATCGAAAAATTCCGACTATAATGCAAACAATCCTGTCATGAAAAAAATGGTCAGCGATGACTACTGGTAGCTAATGTGCTGTTTTCAATAAATTATTGAAGCATTTGTTGAAATTTTCTTAAATAATTAGATTTGAATCTCTTACAAAATAGTTTTAATTTTAATTTGAAATATTTCGATGGTTAATGTAATATATTTCGCACAACGTTGCTATTATTCTACTTAATATTGTCGTTAATATTCTACAATTAAAGAAATTGTAAAATACAAAAAACTGAAAAAACCCTATTTGCAATGTTTCAAACACCATAAATCATAATTTTAAATGATATTACCATTAATAAATCGATATAAAATTTATAAAAAATTTTCCATTCATTCCATTGTGGTTGTATCAGCTGAAACGACCGTCTATAATACGGTCATGCGGGCTGATTATTTGCATTTGACCTGCCAATTGATTCTCTGGCAAAACCTATGCAGTCAGACAAAATGGCGAAGCATGCTCACCCAGAAATGAGAGCCTCTTAGAGCTCTAATAGTAATATTAATTCTAATAATAATAAAAAGACTGTAGTCAGAACGAATTCGATCGGTTGTCTATATTAATGTATTCAATACTAATGATGAAAATTTTTTTTTGATATTTATTGGACGGAAAATAGAAAGGAAAATTTTAGGGAATATTTAATAAGGAATGCAATGACCACAAGTTCGCCTGCATTGTGTTCTCATCACAATTCCATAGTCACCGATGTTGCAAAGGTGCCGATATGACTGACAATCAACGTGTGCATCAGTGCAGCCACTGGATTGCGAAGCTGAAAACCAATTTAGGCAGGTTTAATCAGCATAACATATCTTGAGAAGTGGAATTTACGGAGAAAAATATTGCTAAATCTAATAACAATAGTAATTTTATGATAGCACCGCTATATTTTTTCAACAGATTTAATCGAGTAAAACTTGTGTTCAGCATTGTAATTAACGGAGAAAAAATGTTACTAATTCCCATTGCAGCAAACTGCAGGCAGTTTCACTATCTATTTTTTTGCCTTTCCTTACCTTTCCTTTGAATCACAATTCAACGGCAAATAGGTGTAAGTAGGAAGTATAATTGTAACAATAAAATTATTTTTGCAACTCACTTCTGAGGTTTTGAAGACAAGCGCGTGAAAAACAGGTTCTCTGGCAAATATTTCGAATCGAATCAAGTTGACAAAATCCCCTCAAGCTTTCGCAACCATCAATACTATCTGGACATTCACCACCAGCACCAGGGAGATCACAAAGTCCGCATGTATGTGGGCAAAATTCGAATGCTATTTTACTAAGATAAGGCGTTCTGCACATTTCCTGCGTAAAATTTTCGCATTGGCCCACTGAAAATTCAGCATTAGTATATTAAAGGTTTTTTAACTTAATTTGTAATGTAGTTTTGAAAATATTTAAAAAAGGCCATCAAAACCATCTCTGCAATTGAACTTTCTTGTTTTGCAACACATTGCGCATGTGTGTGGACATAATTGTTCGGCTAAACGCATATAAATTGGCATTTGGCATTTTTCGCTTACTTTATAGTCCGCTGCACTGAAATAGGCATTTCTATAGAACAAAAAATGACTCACTAATTTGTATTGTTGATTATATTTTTGTAAAATTGTGATAAAATTGTGATAGGACTGATTTTGTTTTTATGTTTAAATAAATTATCAAAAAAATTATATTTAAAATAATTATATTTAAATTATATTAAAAAAATATTTCAAAAATGTTAAAAAAATTCAACAATGAAAAATTCAAAAAAAAAAGTTTTATTACGGATTAAGTTGGTCTAGAATTGTCTGGTCTTCTTCTAAATTAAATACTTGTGAACACGCTGGATCCAGGTCGAAACATAGATTTGGGTCGACGGTTGGGCGGTACATAACAACTTGAGCTACTTGAGGTACACCACCAACTCCAGGTGCTGGAGGAGCTGGCGGTGGCGGAAGTGGTCTGTGGCAAACACTAATTGATACATCGCCAGCACTTACACAAGAAAAAAATAATAATAGAGGCAGATAAACGAAATTCACCATTGCCCGCGACCTCTGTTGATAATCAAATAATCATTTCCGCTCCTTTAGTAATATTTTTATACTCTTTTTTGTTTATTCTGTAATTTATTTTGTAATTGTTTATTCTGTTAAATTAAACGGTAAATTTTCGTTAATCAAATAATTAATAATCAATTACTTCAATTATTTGTGCAATTCAACGATTTTTAAAATATGAAAAATATTTTTTCATTCTTTTCATTTTTTATTTCATTTCATTTTTTAAAATTTTTCATTTCATTTTTTAATATTTAGTATTTTTATAGTAATATTTTTAATATTATTTTTTACATTCATTTCATCGTTTACAATTTGTTTTGCGCTGTAAATGCAGTTTTGTAATTTTCATTTATTCAGTGCAATGCAAAAAGCATCTCAAATCATTTCTAAAAATTTTCGAACCTCCAAAATTCTTTATTCTTATTCTATTCTTTTTTTTCTAAAATAATATCCTCAATATGAGCGAAGCCATCGTTCCTACAAATCAAGTTTAAGTCAGGTTTGTCGCCGCAGTTTCTTTTTTATTGAGTGGTATATTAATAATCATTCACCACTAATTACTGATAGTATTATTTATTTTAATATTATCATCACCATTGTAAAAATTATAATTTTAAAATGATATATCAAGTTATATAGTTTTTTATAGCTTTTATTGATAATGATTAATAATTGATAATATATGTGGAATGCTTCCTAGATTGGTAGCACAGGCGTAATGAAAAATTTTTTAAACATTGTAACTGCGAATTAATGCACCATAAAAAATTATAAATCACTTAAGGAATATCGGAAGGCATTTTTTCCAACGAATCATCAAACAGCAGAAAAAT